ACTGGTAGCTGCCCATGCATCCATGCCAGGACACGGCTTTAATTTCGAACACGTGCGAATACTGGGTCAGTCAGACGACCGAACTTCACGCCCGCTGCAGGAAACATGGCATTCACGCGCAGATTCAATTAACAGGCATATCGATCTTCCTGGCGCCTACCTCGCGTTGCACGAACACAAAGAGGGCAGAGGTCAAGGGCAAAGTCACTCCGGACAGAACTGAGGTAAATACCTATTGAGCTGTAAATTTTTTCATTCCTTGGCAATGAGCTCGCGGAGGAGTTCGAAACGTCGGACAAATAAACCACTGGTCCCGGAGAACGTTTTACGGTCTACTAAACCTAAACATTAAACCACACAGTTGGCAGGAACCCAAACCGTAGCTCTTGACATGATACCGACCTTAAATCCCAACTTCAACTTAATTTTCCCGGAATGTGACGTAAAGTCCTATTTATTGTTGGCAAACCTTATTTTTGTTTAGGCGGAAATGTAAGCCCTTCTGACCCAAGACTTGCAGTCACAAGCAATTACCAATTTGTTTGGAGGTTTTCGTACTATAGAACTTTCTCAGAATTCACGAAGATTCCGTTTTCGACGGCTAACAGAATCTATTAGAAGCTAGGTTGAATAACTGAAAAGGCACGCCCTCGAGACGTGAATACGGATGCCTGAGAAATACACGAAACGCACTACTGATCATATCAACGAGTACGGATGCTCCTTCAAAAAAGGTCATCTGCTTACGTAACCTTCAAAATATGCCAGACAAAAGTTTGGCGTCAGGGATTTGAACTGGGCTGTGCTCTTGGTTAGCACAGGCGACATGCCGCTGCAACAACAGAGTTCTGCCAATTAATAAGCAAAGAGAGTAAGAGAGAGTGCTCACATACGTGGTCAAAAATGTCACTGTAGTCGAGGTTGGGTTTAGCCAGAGCGTCCTTCCAGCGCTTGGCCGAGATCTGTTTTTCCTCTTCGGCCACATCTTCATGCCGTCGACGCATAATGGCTTCTTTCTCGTTGGCCACGTGACGCATGCCCGCTAGCACAGCGCTACTGTCCTTGTCGTTGACATTGCCGTCGAAACGACGACGAC